CCAAACCATTCTACTTCAATTCTTAGTGCCTGTTACTTCGGCATACTTGCACGGGAACCATAATTCTCATGTATCACACTATGTTTAAAACTGCAGTCTTATACATATTTATTCAAAAGTAAGTTCCATGGAGCTCAGTGGAACTCGGCCCTCATTAAATATGCAGGGATTCAGCTGGAAAGCACACAGTGTTCTTTTATCCATAAGCTTGGTCAATTAGCTTACATTTGTAAACTGATTTGGTGCTTTAAAATGTGATTTTAAGTACACAGGTGCAGTGTTCCCTCTAAGCTGAGTTAATGGGAGCTAGCTCAGTTTTTTAGCCTCTGGCTCACACATTTTTTCTTAGCTCAGGAAGGATGGCTCCAGAGCAAACTGATTTATGCAGTAGCCAAATCGCTCGCTCATAACTTTAATGCCAGTAGCTCACAAAGTAGAATTTTTGCTCACAAGACTCCACAGCTTAGAGGGAGCATTGCACAGGTGCCATACTCATAAATGGCTACACAAATCAGAGAGAGGAAAAAACTGGAGAGGATATATGCACAATCCATGCCCAGTTTTTCAAAGTGCTAAACTACTGTCACTAAGGCTGCGATCAGGTGCGCAGTTTGATCTGGTATGGCCTCGTTTCTAATTGATCCAGTGTTTTTTGTAACAGAGTGTTTTGATCAGATATCCCTCTCTTAACCCACTTCAATGCACTTTCACACCATGGTTGATTGATCAGACGTGGCAGCCACAGAGTGGGGTGGTGGGCATTTTTTTTAATCATGTCTTTTGAGCATGCACATAAGCGCTTATGGGAAGCAGTGCCCCAGACTCCTGGCAGAATGGCAGCACCTGGTGGCCAATGAGATTGTTGGAGTAGGCTGCTGGATATGTAGTTCAGTGTGGGGGAAGTGTTTTGGAAACTGCTTTTGATAAATTCAATGTTCAAAGCGGGGGGGGGGGGCAGGACAGAATAGATTTTTGAGAATTTCCTGGGTGTGAGAGAGACACACAGAGAGGTGCAAATATGCATACCTCACTGCCTCACACACACAGCCGCCTTAGTTCAGGGAAGGGACGGGTGAGGTGGTGGCTCCGGGGGAAGGAGGGAGCTCTCTGGTTCAGCTGGGGGAGAGAGGGGTGAATGGAGCAGGCGACAAAACGCACAAGTAGTGCTTTGCAGCTCATAGCCGCTTATGCACACATTGATAACTTGGGGGGGGGAAATGGTGGCAAAACAGAGAGTGAGCGATCTGACTTCCCAAAAGGCTTCACCCCACAAGACAGCAATCAGATATACACAGAGGCACTGTGAAATCTGTAAAGACTGGACTTTCTGCAGTGTGGGGACAGTTGGGGGTGAGTATGGGAGGCTGACTGTAGGATGGAAGCCAGCTGTTGATGTCTGATCAAGCACTTCAAATCCATTCAGGAGGAACAATGACAGTGGACCAAAGTACTCATCTGATCGCACCCCAAGATAGATTAATGATACGAAATGGTGATCCAAAACACTATGCTAGTGCCAAGGGATAAAGCAATAAGGTCTACTTTGTAATGTAGCAACTTTCTAATGTCAGGTGGAGAACTACCCAACAGTACATTGCAAATCACAGCATGGGGAAGGAGGGGGACCCCAGTGTTGAACAAGATTGGGACAGCACTAGCAGCAGACAACATATGGAAACTGCCTGAACACTGTACCCTTCTGGTGTTGGTGTCCCAGAGAAACTTAACATTAGGGTGGCAATGCAGTACAAACCCTCCACTCCCATCCAATATAGAGCAGTTAACTATATCCATTTTAAGGTTAACTATATATTAAAAAAATAGTCCGTACACACAAAAATATTTGTTTAATTGGAAACCATACATCAATCTGCACTTTTATACTGGAGTGCAGGACTGTAAAACCAGGTTTTCTAAAGCCAGGCCTACTGTTCGAAATAAGATCAATTCTTTTTTTAAAAAAGCAAAAAAGAGAAGGGGAGGACTAAACAGAAAAAAAGAATCAAATTTCAAGATTCAATTCACGCTCACAGTTAGTTTGTTAGGTATATCATTATGCGTCTCTTTCTTGCTCTGACCTATACGACCCATCTTCTTTTTTGACGGTCAACTTTATCATGCAGACAGAAGGTACATATGTAGCTTTGCTACAGGTTATTTTGTAGTTTTGCTTGGTAGAGAACAGACCAGCCAGAGGGGAGTTCAACACTACCCCAGAAGCACACGTCTCAGACTTTCAACTGGAGTAGAGTCTACCTCCCAAACCAGCAACAACTACTGCTATCTTTTGGTAAGAGGCTTAGTTTTAAGAGGAAGACCCCAGGACATTATGACCATTTCCTTAATGGTTTGCTCTGGAACCTAAACCGCCCCATTGACTGTATTAGCATTCAGGTTACCTTTAATAAAGTACTGATTAATGTATGATTCATCTCCACATACGTATGCCAGGAAGATATTCTCAAACCATGACAAACCATTTTGTTTTAAAAGGCTTGAGGTGCAGAGAAAAGGATCAAAAGTCTGCATCCAATCTGTGTTTTCTGTCACAGAAAACATACTCCAAATGTTTCTGTCATAGGACATATTTTGCCTATCAATGAGACTATAAACTCACAGTATCAACACGCAAAGAATCCTCTTCAGAAGAATAATTAAAATTTTACAATAGCCATGTTGGGTAGCTGGCTGAACAAACACCACACACTTCACACAAGAATAAGTCAACTGTCTGAATAAGGATTTACTGGAACAGAACCTTGTAAGGATACACTACACTCAATCTCATTTTAAAGGAGTTGATTGGATTTTTATACAACATAGCCCCTGGCATTTTAAAATAGACCCACTGGAGAATGGAATGGAGAATCGGAAACGCAACATTTCAGACCCAGGCTGCATTTGCCTTTAATACTTTTTTTAAAAAGTGTGTTTGAAACATATGGTTGCTTTTATCATGTTTTTAGCTTCTTTTCTGAGGAAGAGTTCTCGGAATCTGTGTCTTCAAACTCTGCTCTGTGCCTTTTCTGTCGTCCATGCATTTGCAGGCCATCACTGTCTGCGGGATGCAACTCTGCAACATCCTCTTTCATGCTAACGCCGTGAATGATAGAGTCTGCAGCAGACAGGTAACATTCCTTGTGTAAGGATGGGCATGTCTGCACCAGGCTGCCATTCTCTGCATTTACATGTAATTGTCTTCCTTGGGACGCAGCCTCCTGCTCTCCTAAACTTTGTCCATTATTCAGGTAGGAAGAGCGAGGGTGTAAGTGGCCATTATTGTAGTTTGCACATGGATTATCAGTGTTCCTATCTTCATTGTCATCTATTAGGATTCTAGAGTAACTTCCAGACCCACTACAGTTGGCAGCATTAGAAAATGAAGCCTTAGAAACAGCCAAAAGGTTGGGGCTGGAAGCTGGTTGGCAGTTTTGACTGTTTTTATGTTCGACAAATCCTGCCACTTGATTGCATGGCTCTTCAGTGCAACTTTCTTTGCCAACGGCTTTCCCGTTCAGCTTCTTTGACTCAAAAGAATGATCCACGGACCCACTGTTCCCAGTATCATGGGAGAGGCTTTCTTGCTCTTCCAGCTGTTGCTGATTATCACATTCATGCTCTGGGCCATTTCTAGAATATTCACCTGAGCTGTGTTCCTTGAAGGTTTCTTTATTGCAGCTTTCAGTAGAAGAATCCTGGCCACCTTGAATTTTTCTGCTAGTTCCTGGTCTCCCCTCAATTTCTCCAACTCGTGAGGATTCGCCATCTTTACTAGCTGTATAAGACATGTAAGAATAATGAAGCCACCTGAAAGCTCTGTAGATCTTCCTATCTACTGATTCACTTTCTGAGCAAGGAGAGACCTTTTCCTTATGGACTTCTGTACTAGGAGCACCTCTTTCTGGTGATGAAGTTGGAGAAGGGGAGAGATCATCCACTTTGATCTGGGGGTAATCATAGATGTCCTCACCTATGTAGGTGCTTGTGTTTTCTGAATTTGCACTAGTCCTTTCTTCCTTTTGCAGTTGTGATCTGCGTCTCATTGCATTGCGCTGCCGGGTTGAGGCACGGCGCTTATTTAGTTCCTCATCATCTTCCGAGCTGCTACTGCTGCTGCTGGAGCTGCTAGAGTCATTCTCTTCAGGGCTCGGGGACCTTGGCCGTGGGAAAAGATCAGCATCCAGCTCTGTTTCACATGTATTTTCATCAGAATCAGACTCATTCGAAAGGGCCAGGAGACGTTTATCTTGGTACCGCCTAAGCGCAGACAAACGTTGCCGACGAGTAGCTACATCCTCTCTGGCTGGAGGAGATTCTGTAGATCTCAAGGTTCCCAGGTTATAAGTGGCTTCATCAGATTCTTCTGCCATGGGAGGTGGGGAGTGGCGCAGGGAAGTAGAAGACTCTGATTCACTATAACCGGAGCGTTCGCTTACTCCAGCATGGAGCTGTAGGATAGTGCTTTCACTGAGGTCACTGTCTGAGTCAGAACTCCAGCCCTCAATCTCCCGACGGACCAAGGAGTCAAAAAACGCCATCATTCGCGGATCCTCTTGGACTGACTGATTAGCATAATCATGGGACAAGCCACTGCCACTGTTCAGTACAAGACTAATATATTCTTCATGAGTGTACAGGCAACGAGAATCATCCTCAATTTTACCATCCAGATCTCCTGTGCATCCAGGCTGCCTGTAGGGACTCCAGATCTGAAAGTAAAAGAAAGAAAGAAAAGATCAACTGCGCACAGTTTTAAGGCACTTCATCCAATTTATCTGTATTGCTATGATCTTAGAGTATGAAAGAAAGCAATTATCACAATAACTTTTAATGTGGCTGGATTTTACAGGAGTGCTCTTTTAACTCACTCGTGAGGATATATTTCATTCCTAAGGCAACATCCTCCCCAGAACTCGTTAATGCCCTCAGAATTTTTAATCTACAGCAGAATTCAGTACTCTATTCTTATGTAAGAGGTGTTTACTTGTGGGTGGGTGGGGAGTGTGGATGAGAAACACTTGATTACTTTCTGAGTAACTCTAGGCACTGATTTCCCAGGAAACTAGAAATACTAGAGATGTGCAAGTGTGTTGATGCACATTTCTGTACTGGAGAATCTTCAAAGAATATGTATGTGACACATTACTAATTCCTGCACACTTTGGCGCTGTCAGGGTTTAGACGGTATGACAGCGCAACTGGACAGGAACTCTGGACATTTCCATCCACACGTTTCTATGAAACTGAAGAGGGAAGTGTCTGATTACCTGGATAAAGGTGCAGTTTAAATTACGCTTCCATATGTACTCATGTTGAAAGTCACATAAGAATTACTCACCTTGTGTACAAAGAAAAATCAAATATACGCTGTACATAGAAGCCCTGCTCACATGTTACAGTGAACATGCATACATCCAGCAAGTGTGTACATTAGTTTGTAAGGAGGAGCCAATGTGCATTCACTTTACAAATGAAACCGGGGAACAGTACCTGGATAAATGCAGGTATATATCACCTGTTCAGCTATACATGTGTTGAATAACATAAGAGGGCCTGCAGACTATATATAGGATGTATTATCTGTTTACTGCACATATTACCCTGTTGTTGCTGCATTGTTTTCTACCAATGTAATAACCATTTTTCTAAATTGTACTCTGCACTCTCTATCATGTGTACTATGCTATGCTTACTCAGATGTCTGTAGTCCTAGTCCCAGTAGACTAGATGTAACTTATTAGATCTATCTTTGTGTTGTTTCATCTTACACTGTGTAATCTGCTTTGAGTCTCAGTGAGAAAGGATGACTAAAAATACTAAGTAAAATGAAGTGTACGCTGCACAAAGACTGTACATGCATTCACTGTGAAGTGTAGCCTTGTACAGATGACCTGATGCTTTCTGAATGGTGCTGATCATGGGGAGGAAGCATACACACGTGGCAAATTCCCCCACATGTAGGTGCCATGCTCATGAGCCAGCAATCAAACAGAGAAAGGGCCAGCATGCACATTCCTGTTCTTCTCCACATGTGGAGTTAATGTATGGATGGGTCATCTGTACAGATCTTGAGTAAAGGGTTTTCATCTCTCACACCAGTCCCGACCTTCTCTCTCCCTTAACCCACTTAGAAAACCAGAACCTTTAACAGCAAGCACATTTTCAACATATTACATTAACAGCATAAGTTGAGTTTTGGGATAAGGGTGCAGAACTACAAAAAAGCTCTGCAAAGGAGCAAAGTGTCAACTGGCACTCGGCAGGAAGCCTCAGGCCCCTGTCACGCACTGGAAGAATAGTAGAATTTCTGGGACCTCAGAATAAATAATCAAGCATATTCTGTGTTATGTTCACATACACTGAAATATTCAGAGTGACACTCTTACTGCAAGTGGGGATAATGAGACGAAATCTGCCCTATCAGATTATTTGGAAACAAAAAGTAGAGACAGATATGAGCCTCTCCACGACTGTCTCCATAGAAACAAGGGTGCAGAGATCTTCCATTTCTTACATAGTAGTGTACTTTGATTTCCTTTGAAGTGTAAATAAGCGATGCCTTACTACTTTCCTTTCTACATACTTTTTGACAAGCTGCCATAGCCATCAATATTCAGTTCAGTACTGCCCTCCTGCTGACAACTCTTCACAGGCTTCTGTGGCTTTCTCTACACAGCCCATCTCCTTCGCCTGCCACCACAGCAACATCTGTTCCAAAAACAACCTGCTGCTCCCTTATCTACCAGTACGGCCTTTTCTTGAAGCATCTTTTCTGCATGTTAGTCCCCATTCTGTTTAAAATCTCATCTCTAATGTACACATACTTCCACACACAACTTCTTTATTCTCCTATCCGCTGGCCAGCTTGAGTTTCCAGTTCAGAAGTCAATACAGTAAATTTAAAATCTTGCCTTTAAACCGGAGGGGAAAAAACTGCAGCCGCCACCACTTTCAACCTCCAGTATCTTTCAAAATAAAGTCATGGTACAACACAATGGGGGCCAGGTATAATATTCCTGCTTTAAGCAGCACTTACTTTGGAGCCACCGCCACCACAGACAATGTGCTTAGTTTCTGCAGATTTAATACTATACATAGGAACAATAAAAACATGGCCTCATCGACTGATCTCAGCAAGTGAGCAGATTTATAAAGGACACTTGCATGCAGCATGGGATCCTGAGGGAGAGTCAGAACCAAACCATGTATTTATTTAAAACAAAACACAGCATAAAGGTATGGGGAGCCACCCCCTCGCTGTTTGCTGTTACTTCAAGGATTTTTCTCTTAGCAGAAGGCTGTTAAATGCACCAAAGTGCAATAAGGCAAATCTGGGGAGGGGGCAGGGCTTAGCCTATTCCCCACGTGTTTCTTTTTTTTTTTGTCAAAATGCCTTATATGAGCACACCCTCCCCTCCAAAGAGTGCAGAGCAGTGTATTATATTCTGATGTACCTCCCCCCATTTGAATTATTTCATTTTTGCCCCACCCTCTCTCCGTAGAACTCAGGGCGGCATGCACGGCTCTCTCTTCCCAATGTGTCCTCATTGCACCATGAGGTAAGTGGGCTACCCGGAGAGAGAAAGAGGCTGGCACAAGGCCACACTTCTCCTGAATCAAGGAGCCTCTGAACTCATAGGCACATTCCCAACAGTGTCTTGTCAGACTTCCTGGATCCTTGGGATTTTTCTGCCTACTTTCCCCCTCCTCCTGGTCCTACAACAACTCAGGAAAACTAGGAAAGAACAGGGATATGTTCCACTGAAATACATAATGCTTTTGAACCAACAGAGATTTCCTTTCCTGGAAGCACTCAAACAGCACAGTCTTACGAGTTGAAGAGGCTTTGAAAGAACACTTAATGAAGACTAACTTTCAACCCAAAAGCAGAAACAAATTAAAGATGCACCAAAGGAAACACACTGCATGCCTATACTCTAGTTAATCCAACAGACCATGTACAGTCATGCTGGAAGGATTCAGAGGATGAAGAGTCACTTCAACCAAAGATTCCCCAAAGCTTTAAATTGCACCAATTGTCCATGCACAACAACACCCTTGGCAGAAACTAGTATGAATACAGCTAGGCAGACATCTACAAAACAAACAACAACAACAACACAACAACAGAGTTTCAACAGAACACAACAATGCTCCATCTAAAATCCATACTTGTGATGCTACCACAAAAATTCTGTTTTTCATATGCAAACATGTCTGGGGAACAGAGGGAGAGAAGCAGAGACGAAGAGATTTAAGACTTGTAGGCCTGGGCAAATCTGGGCAGTCATGATTCCCAGCCTGCATAAATGGATTGCCTAGCAGGGTGAAATGCAGTCAGCTGAATCGCAGCTGACCGAATTGTGTACCTATTCCCCAGGCGACCTCAAATTACTGCACTGTCCTTTCAAGACATTCATAAAGCAGTTCAAGGGAATAACTGAAAACAGAAGTTAATTCTAACCTGGTCCTAGCAAAGCAGTTTCCAAAACCTGTCAGGCAGCTGCAGATACATAAAGGAACACAAGGCTAGTCCTTCTAATTTGACTGGACATCCAGGTGCCAATGTGGTAAAATGAGTGCAGGGCTGAACTTGTACCAAGAAGAGGTGGGCTCAAACATCTGCTCAGGCATAAAAGCTAGACAACCTTGGGCAAGTCACCATCTCAGGGCCACAGTGAGGGTTGGGGTTCCTCAGCCTCCTTCACTGACAAACATGGGGTTGGGGAATTAGCATTCTCAAGTGCTCTGGGGCCCATTTTAGCTCAGAAGTGTAGCATGGGGGGGACTCCTCCTCTTCCTCCTGCTCCATGCTCCTGAGACAAACTGGGTCCCAGAGCACCTGTGAACATTAGTTCACTGGCATCATATCTGTCTGTAAAGTGGGCTGGCGAAGGTCAACCTGAGTTGTGTCAGACGTAACATCTAGTTTAGTCCTCAGCCTACTGCCAGCCTCACCTACTTGGGATTCCAAAATGGGCTAATCCCTGGGCTGCCTGCAAAAGGAATATCCCATATTTGGGGAGAACACGGGCTATAGGTCTGTTTGATAGCAAAGAGTAAGTTCATAAACAAGACAAGACAAAGTTAAAGCATGCTGAATCTATTCTCAGATGAAGACAGAAATGTTGTCATTGAGGGCAGGGAGAGGCAAAGAGCACAAGCACAGTCATTTCATGAAAGTAAGTTAAGTGCCTGTCAGGACAAGTGAGGGCCAAACAATGCTACCTCACTTCTCTCAAAGGCCTTCTTTTCCTTGCTGGTGCTAAAGGCTCATCTAATTTTTAAAAAATATATACCAGGACTAATGTGAAGCACAGAATCACACTTTTATCCAACTCCCTGCCTAACTCTCCTCTTTACCTTCCATCCCACCCCAGATCTGCCTATGCAGTCCAGGGGATCATGTGTCACAAGGTACAAAAATAGGTGTTGACAGGACACGGGAATCGAGATCTTCCAAGAAACTGAACCAAGCTACACATGGCAAGGGAAGCAAGTGAAAAACTAAGTGACATATGTCAATCACAAGCTAGTCTGACTTGGGAAGAAACTTCTTCCTAATGAAACTGATACAACACCTATTCACTGGATCCAAAGAACTTGGGGGGGGGGGGAGAACTCTGTGCCATTCGGTTACCAATCACTGGCCACAGTAGTCCCTAATGGCTCACAGGGTAGGGTGCAGTGAGGGAAACAGTTATCAAATGCACAGAGAAAGGAAACCAATCAGTTCTTTCTACTTCTAAGGGGAAGTGGAAAAGAGTCATTAGATAACCCTCAGCTCAGCACAGCGTTATGATAGCGGAGTATGTACACTGCCTGCTCCATTCTGCAGCCTTTAGTGGACTGTGGGGAGCACTGGCACAGAGAACAAGAGTGATCGAGTACCATCTGAATAATTAAGCGTACAGCTGAGAAATTATTGAGTAATAATTATGTACTGAATAATTCAACTACACAGCAGTAGAGCAATTCTGGATTGCTTTGAACCGGCTGTCTGATCCACAGTCCTGTAGTACATAACTAACTGCCTGGATTCCAAAAAAACAATGAGATTAAATTGGCCTAAATTAAAGCATACAAGTCACTGTAGTGTGGTTTCCTAGTCAGAGGGCGGTTCTACTTTGGGCACACTTCACTGAAAGATACCAACCCCACTCTAGGGGGGGAAATGCAATTCCTGTGTACTACTCTCTTTTTTTTAATCAATGTGCACTACTTGAAACCAACAGGATTCAGTCTCTCTTTAGAAACATGCATTTATCACAGATAATGAGAAATAAAGAAGTTACTCCTTGGAGGAAGAACAGAATAAATGAGTGAGAATGCTCAATAAGAAATGGATACAGTACACTTCAACAGTTATCAGAAAAAGAAGAGAGGCTTGTTTCATGGGCACGGCTCACCTTTATAATCTTTTCGACACCAGAAGAGCAGATCATGTAGGTATGGGGATTAAATCGGACCTGATTTACAATCGACCGATGACCTTTCAACACCATAAAGGCACCATTAACCACCCTGCCGATCCCACCTGAAAAACAAGACAGGAGTAACTGGACCATATCCCATAAACAGGGCCTGATTACAAGAACAATTATATACACACAAGTAAACTAAGGTAGCACCAACACTACTGGCAATAATGTGCTTTTTGTTTAAAAAGTGAAAGGCTCTACACCTTCAATGTGAACTCAAAAAACCATGCCCCTCAGCAATTGAAACCCATCAGGGAGAGGCCACCATTAATTTCTCTGTATCACGCATCAACTTATGCACAGCTCATCTTGGTTACATTTTTAAACTTTCTTCTGAAGTAATGGAAGCCACTGAAGCATACAGTATTCACATGTCTCCAATACTTTGCCAAGGCCTGAAATGTATGGTGTCAGTTCCATAAAGGACTACTAATGTTATATTGGCATTAAATCCACATAGGGTAAGGAATAAAAGGTGATGGAAGATTCAGAATAACATTTTGGAGAAGAAAATCCATAGCAGGTAGGGTCACCAGCTCTGGGTTGGGAAACACCTGGAGATCTTGGGGGGTGGAGGCTCAGGGGGGCAGGGTTTGGGGAGGGGAGGGGCTTCAATGGGATATAAGGCCATCGGCTCCACCTTCCAAAGCAGCCATTTTCTCCAGGTGAACTGACCTCTGTTGCCAGGAGATCAGTTGCAATAGCAGGAGATCTCCAGCCACTACCAGGAGGTTGGCAACCCTAACAACAGGCCTTAATATGAGGCTATATACGAATAAAGGATATTACTCAATCTGTAGCGTCAAGGTGACTTCCACCAACTGATCATCCTCTTCCCCCCACACATATAATCTCTCAATACAGAGATTAAAGTTTAAGATCCTTTAGTTCCAATTTTTACTTGTCCAATGGATATGCAGTTATTAGTTCTTCCTTGCATGGCTTCCAGACCTCATGATTCAAATTATTTTCTTTGTTACAGACACATCACATTAACTTACCGCTCAATTTGTAACACTGTTTGAAGTGAAATCATAATTCTCTTCCACTGCTCCCCCAGAAGTACTACTATTGCAATCATGAGTTATGTAAGGAGAGATTGGCTATGCAAATATCACAGGCCTCTACTGGATGAGTGATATAATTCCATTCTCCCACACCACATGGTTTGTGAACTTTGATTTTGCCAATTTCTTCATATTTTCCATCCTCAGCAGCTATGGTCTCTACTGCTGTGTTACCGTGATGCTACAACATTCACCTAGCACTAGTTTTTTGCAAACAGTGAATAATGGGGGAGGCGGAGTAGAGACGCTTCATTGGGAACAAATAAAACTGAGTTGGGAGGTAAGCGTACACCCACTGTGTGCTTAGCCATTGCTGTAGTAGTCAACAAGCTTGGCTGAGTGAAGAATAGCAGTGTGGTTGTTTCTCAGTCTCACACTTATATCCCAAGTAAGCCCACCCACCTCCATCTATTACATAGGGATGGATTACTGCTCTGCTAGCTCCAGATTGGAACTGGCGTTAGTACAGCATTTAAAAAGAAGTTTTCTGAAAGGCCCCTATTCTGGGTTCCCACTAGGTCTTAATGACTGCAAATAGTCAACAGCAACTCCCTGACATGTGCAACATTCTTTCCAGCTAAAACCACATTCCCCAACTTTCAACATGCATCAGAACCACTGTGCAAGGGTGTGCCAAGTTCCTTTCTTAAAGCTCTTATCTTTGTTCAGATGACATACATTCCAGGGAAAAAACAACTCAAGTAAAGAGAGAAGGTTTGATTAGCAAACTCTTCAAAAGGAATTGCAAAAGCAGAGAGCGAACTGCTCACCAGTTCTTTTCTGTCTTTGCTGAAGTACAGTAGTAATAGAACAAAGGAAATATTGTATGTTACGGGATTGGTTTAAAGTAAATCTAAGATCTTCATAAAAAGCTCATCCTAGTATTTTGGAAGTGATAAAGTCAGTGAAGTTCTTTGTATGTAAAAACTGCCCCTAAAAATGAGCACTGAGATTATTAGGAGCACAATAAAGATCCTTCATGGATTCTTTTAGCATCCATGAGCAACTTGATTTTTCGCCAGGGTTTTCCTCCCTGAATCATCAGACAATATCTGAATTTCTCTGCTTTGTTTGCATTATATCATTGCTGTTACTTCATGCCCACTGCAAATATATCTGCTCCAATACATTTTATCACTTCCAAAATAATAGGATGAGCTTTTTATGAAAAGTTTAGATTCACTTAAAACCAACCCCATAACATACAATATTTCCTTTAATCCCACTCCTTAGAGAACAACATTTTCCATTAAGCAGAGCAAGTTTCAAATAACCAGTCCAACAATTTGCAACAGATAGCTAGGTGTTCCCTGGTACCATGCTTCTAGAACTACTACCTAATAGACACAGTGGTGGTAGCTGTGTTGAGGGTGGAAAGATGGCAGTTCCAGTCAAATGCAGGCTAACCATAGTTTGTAGCGAGGTCTGGGCATGTTCGTGAACTTTGGCCAGTTCATGGTTCACAAAGTGCATTTCATGGCAGGTCAACCAACATAAACTTTCCACAAACTATCAAGCTGTTCCTGGTGGTTCCTGCAGGTTGGTGAATGGATATATTTCCAGACAGAATCCCTCCGCTCAATCAGAATGTTTACCAAACTTCAAAGTGGGGTAGGGGGGTCTCCAGCCTTGGAAACACTGTGGTTAGTTTCAAACTAGTCATGCCGGTTTCAGGTTTTTTTTTTATTTTTCTCTTTGCTGGAGTTCCTGTGTTGCCTTCCCATTTTCTTGCACAGAGCTTGCAAAATTCCCCCCTAGTTTGGATAAACTGTGAATCCGTTCTTTGAGAGCAGTACTTTTAAGCCTGCAATGTCAGTGGCACTGGGTTTTGCTGGACATTCTGCACAATGCAACTGCAAGGGTCCTCTGGTTTGACATTAGTCCTCCTTTTGCTTGCACTAGCACTGGGTTCTGCTGGGCACTAGTACATTGCACTGGTTTTACTGGGCTTGCACCCCACCCCCCGCTTGGAGTGTGATTCTGTGCTTCACATTAGTCCTGTTGAGTTGGCATGCCAAAATGGCACTAGGTTCTGCTGGGCACTGGTACATTGCACTAGTTCTGCTGGAGGATGTACTAAAACGAATGAAAGGATTGCCCATTGGAAACAATGGGAGAGGCTTGAAGATCCATTAGAGATAATGGGAGCCAGGAATGCCAATTGACTTGCATGGACTCTATTAAAATATATTACAGCATAAAGTACTTGCAATGAAAATGCGGAGTGGATTTTCAATTAATGTCTCTGGGCCCAGTTAAACTGCTGTGGAACAGGAATAACAGGCCCCAGAGTGGAATGATGGAACCAGAAACTGAATGAGTGCTCTGGGACTAGAAAGACAGCCCCCAAAGTGGGATGACAGTCCCTGGGAGTGGCAGAAATGTTCTGGCACTGAAATGACAACCCCTCCCCACTGGAACGACAGTCCCTGGGAGTAGCAGAAGTATTTTGGGACAGGAATGACAGCTCCCGGAGTGGAATGACAGCCCCTGGGAGTAGTAGAAGTGTTCCGGAACTCGAATGACAGTTTCCAGACTGGAATGATGGCCCCTGGTATTAGGAGAAGTGTTCTGGGACTGAAATGACAGCCCCCAGAGTGGAATGACATCCCCCAGTAGTAGCAGAAGTGTACTGGGGTTGGAATGACATCCCCCAGAGTGGAATAAGAACCACTGGGAGCAGCGGACAGAAATGATAGCCCCCAAAGTGTACTGACAGACCATGGGAGGAACAGAAGTGTTCTCAAGCTGGAATGACAGCCCCCAGAGTGGACTGACTGCCCATTTCATAGCAGAAATGTTCTGGGACTAGAATGACAGTTCCCAAAAGGGACTGATGGCTTGTCATTCCACTCCCAAAACTCTTCTGCTCCTCCCAGGGGATGTCATTCTACTCTGGAGGAATGTAATTCCAGCTCCAGAGCACTTCTGCTATGACCCATGGGCAGTCAGCCCACTCTGGGGGCTGTTGTTTCAGTCCCAGAACTCTTCTGTTCTTCCTGGGGGCTGTGGTTCCAAGTCTGGGGGTAGTCATTCCTGTCCCAGAAGAACTCTGCTACTCCCAGTGGCTGTCATTCCACTCTGGTGGCTGTCATTCCAGTCCCAGAACACTTCTTCTACCCCCAGCAGCTATTTCACTCTGTAACCTGTCATTCCTGTCACAATACAGTTCTGTTACTCCTAGTGGCTGTCATTCCACTCTGGGGGTTATCATTCCAGCCCAAGAACACTTCTGCTACTCCTGGGGGTTGTCATTCCACTCTGGAGCTATCATTTAAGTTTCATAACACTTCTGCTCCTCCTAGGGGCTGTCATGCCAGTCTGGGGGCTGTCACTCCTGTCTCAAAAGAATTCTACTACTCCTAGCAGCAGTCATTTCACTCTGTGGGCTGTCATTCCAGTCTCAGAATGCTTCTGCTACTTCCAGGGGCTGTCATTCCAGTTCCAGAACAATTTTGTTATTCCAGAGGCTGTTGTTCCACTCTAGGGTCTGTCATTTCAGCCCCAAAACACTTTTGCTACTCCAAGGGGCTGTCATCCTACTCTGGAGGCTGTCATTGCTGCTTCAGAACACTTCTGCTACTCCAAGAGGCTGTCATTCCACTCTTTAACTTGTCATTCCAGTGCCAATAAACTTCTCTTACTCTCAGGGGCCCCCATTGCAATCTGGGGGCTTTCATTCTCATCTCAGGACACTTCTGCCACTCCCAGGGGCTGTCATTCCATTCCCAGATTACAAATTCTATTCCAGGAAACCATCATTCCATTCTGGGGTCTGTTATTCCAGCCCCAAAGCAGTTTATCTGGGCCCAGAGACATTAACTGAAAATCTACACCACATTTTCATTGCAATTATTTTATATTGTAATGTATTTCAATGGAGCCCATGCAAGTCAATTGGCATTCCCGGCTTCCATTACTTTCAGTGGACCTTCAAGCCTCTCCCATTGTTTTCAGTGGGCAATCCTATAATTCCTTGATGCATTCCAGTCTGGCTTTCGGCCGGGGCATGGGATGGAGACAGTGCTGGTTGCCCTTACTGACGACCTCCGTAGACATCTGGATCGAGGCGGTGTGGCGGCGCTGTTGTTGTTAGATCTGTCGGCCGCATTTGATACGGTTGACCACCAGCTGCTGGCCCACTGCCTTGCCGACGTGGGGATTCAGGGGCTCGCCCTTCAATGGCTTGTCTCTTTTCTCCAAGGTCGGAGACAGAGGGTTGGGCTAAAGAAGCAGCAGTCCCAGAGGCACCTGCTTGAATGCAGAGTGCCCCAGGGGGCAGTACTCTCCCCGATGCTATTTAACATATACATGCG